AATTGGCTATGAATCCGAATATAATCGTATCTTGATGGCTGGATTTTGCAGGGTGAGTCCTTCAAAGACACCTGTTCGCTCCCGTGCTCTCCCGCGACATCCGATGCATCGACAGTAGCTAATAGCTACAGGCTTTTATCTATATAATATATCTCTGCCTCTCACAGACATGTAAAGATGTTTGGTCTGAAACTCTGGTCTTTTGTTTTTCCCATATGTAATGCTTGGAAGCTTGATGATGCTTTCGTTGGGATCTTTTGGGTAAATCTCTTAGGGAGTCTTTTACGATTTGGGTTATTTTTTACTGTTAGGGAAAGAAAGTTAACACAGAGCAAGAAGAGAAAACATAGTGAGAAGAGGCTTTTGAATATTGTCTCTGTTTTAATGGGTGGTTTTTATTTTGTTATTTATACTCTTACCCCCAGGAGTTATTAGAAAATTTGCTTTTTATGCGTAAATGTTTCTACTTTTTAGAGTTTAAACCCTTTTGTTTTCTCTTTTACCTTATCGTCCCTAAGATTTATGTCTGTCTGATATTGAATCGTGTTCTTACTTTTCGACCAAAAAGTTAGGTGCAAATCAATTTCTGTTTTCATTTTAACCTCACAGGAGTCAAATTTATCTCAAAATATTTAGAAACATTTTTGAATATAATAACATTAGGAATTGTAAAATTAGTGAGCACATTATCAATCAAATGTCGGGTTTGTCGATGTAGGTTATTTTACTTTGAAACAAATCACAATTTGGTCAAATTTGAACATCTCAAATCTCTAAAGGGCAGTTTGGTCATTTGGAAATAGCTGATGTCACAAAGCCTATGTGGTGTCCAGTTACACCAGTTGATCCATCCTTGCGCTTTTCGAGAAGTGTCTCTTTCTCTCTATTTAGCTTTTGACATTTTTTCACTTTCTACACAACAAAATACAAAATTGTTGTAATGATACTAGATAATTTTGTACTTGTATTATACAGCGGATCAAAAACAAAAATAATACGTACAATAAGATAAGTAACTTGAGGGAAAAAATAAAACATTTTTGGTTATTCAAACATTATTAAAACTAGAGATTGCCCACACGATGTGTGGATTTAAAAACTAAAATTATAAAATATGCAATAATATTTTAATTTATTGGTTATTTATGAATTTAATATTATAAACTTTGATGTTTATACTAAATAATTATCTATGTTTGAAAACTAAACATTTGTAGCAAATTATTGATACAATGTTATATGTAAAAGAAAGAGATTGTTCATTAATAAAAAATTGTATATGAATCATTGAATTGACATACACTTGTAGG